TGCTTCTTTCGTGGAAGAATTGGTTGAGACATAGCTCCCTAAAATATTGAAAACTTTCAACAAATGTCGTTTCCTATCTTTTTTTCTTTCCTACAACAAGGCTTCCGACCCTAAGCTGTTACGCTGTATGTTATTTATGACAGCTCGTCAGAATTGTATGGCAACTTATATGAGAGCTTAATGCTCGTAATCAGTCTATATTCAATAGTACTAGTGGGTGTATACCACACGAAAGTGTAGAAGGTATAGAATGCGTAGCGCTAGAATTTGACCAGATTGTTACAATCCTGTGATTTAAGAAAGAGACCAGGAAATACGAATAGACTCAGAGATTTTCTTTCGAGCTTTTTGGTTTTTGTGGTACTAATTTCCGAGTTTTTAGTTTATTATGGCTTGACTTTAATGAGGTAAGCCTGGTAAATTAATTCGTAGTTAAAATTATAATGATCCAACGTCACATGGACACAGGTCATGGTTCCTCCCAAACAAAGGAAAACTAGACCATGTGCCTAGAAAAAAATTTTGTAAGGGCAGCCTGTTTGCGTAACAGTGTCGAATTGAAAAAGAATGTCTCTTTATTTCTGTTGCATCAGAATCTTAAAGTTTTTGCCTCTTCTCCTCAGCTGTAATTATTTTCAAGTAAGAAGTCACGAAGGATATTTCCATACTTGGAACATTAGGATGAGATGTTGCGCCTTTTGCTAATTCAGCTCCTTATTAATACCTGTGTCATAAGGGACCCAACACAGGTAGGGTCTTGAGCATAGTGGGAAGTTTGGACGCATTCTCTATGTCCAGAACTAAGAGGTTAGAGGAATAAATGTTTTTCTATATTCTAGGCTTCAAGGAAAATCAATTCTTATTTCCAGAGCTAAGAGGTTAGAGAAATAAATGTCTTTCCATATTCTAGGCTTCAAGGAAAATCAATTCTTACTGTAACAGCATCAACATTTTTGGCTGTGTTGCCCTAATGGCACTTAATTCGGTCTGAAAAACCGAACTGTTATGCAGACCCACAAAGCAAATGTAAATCAACTCTGGAGTCTCCCAGCCTATACAAATTACTACCTATGCTTGTGTATCTGACCCATATAAAAACATTATATTCTTGATTTAAGGTGACGATGATTAAGACTCTGCCACACAGTCGTGCATCTCAGTCTGTTCACTTCTGTGATGACTGCCTCTGTTCGATGAATTAGGTCTAGCGATAGAATACCGTCAAGGACTTGAAGAACGAGCGTCTATGTAGTCTTATACTTTCTGAATATCCGAAGTAGAAACGGCCGTGTGCACGGTAAGAGAGACTTCTTTTGGACCGGTTTCAGGTGAAAGCATCATAGAGCGCTATTTTTTTCGGCGATTGACGTATACTGATGATGTTGACAGGAACACTTCTTTAATTTAGAAGTCAAACAACATATTAATTTAGAGGACTTACGTCTTGTTAATGAGGAGGCCCTGAACTTAGAACCTTGTTTTCTTCTCTGAAATATGGTAACTAAGATAGTCTGTTTTCTATAGTGAAATCAAGATATTTCTTCATATTAATTACTCTCATGTCCATAAATTAAGGATAATGCTGGATCCGGGAAATAAAGGTTGAAAAACAAAACAAATGTGACTTATTCATGAAGCCCATTTGTTAAACAAAAGATAAAGAACAAAAAAAAAGCTGGTGTATGTATGGATACCATTCATAAAAACTACGATTTTAACTACGATTTAAACAAAAGATAAAGAACAAAAAAAAAAGCTGGTGTATGTATGGATACCATTCATAAAAACTACGATTTTTGCTCCCGGGATCAATTACAAAAAAATATCTCCCGTACAAAAACTTAAGATTTCATGCTTGGTATGATAATATGTCTCCCAAGATATTTCTTCTCATTAATTACAAATACAGTCCGTGCAACGTCTAGGCATGCGGAGTATCAAATTATCAAGCTGATCTTGGCGAAGATTACTCCATTCAGCAAGTAGTGCTTTATGAAGTTCCGGTATGCAGGTAGGAGGTTCTTGAGGTGCTTCGTCGGTCAAGCATGTCCAATACATACTCCATCGTATTCAAGTCAACTGAGAATGCTGGAAATTCCATACTGAGTGTATCGTGAGATTGAAGGTATTCCTTTGCAGAGTTTGCACTGTGAGGACGGACGTTATCATCCGTAAACATAAATTCTGAGCCTATGGCATCCCTAAACAAACATACATTTTGTTCCAGAATGATATTCCGATAAATTTGGCCTGTCGTGGTTCCGATCTGAACATACAGACCTGTTTTGGAGCCGAGTATAATTCCACCCCAAACGAGCAATCCTGCAATACTCTAACAGTGTAGTTCAATGATGTTATCTTGATTGTAGCGGGTACCTGGAGTTCTCCATATGAGTGTCCGTCGTTAATCAGAGTGTAAGCTAAACCTGGACTCGTCGAAAAACATCACATGAGCCCACTGTGACGATGTCCACATTGCATGCTGTCTAGGCTAACCGCGGGTGACAGTGAGTTGCCGTGAGCGGAAGACATCTGACAGGCCTGCGAGCATATAGACTAATCTGTTCCTGACGTCTGTACACGGTTTGCCTTGAAACTGTCTTACCCGTGGCTGAACAATCTGTAATAAATCAAGGGAAAATTAACTTGAAATGGTTCCGAATATCAATTAAAGAGTACTTGAATGTTGTTAGGTGCTTCAAGTGCCAAGAATTTGGCCACTTTCATAAAAATTGTATAAATAATCAGATTTGTGCTAGATGTGCTCGAAAAGGGCACAATTATTGGGATTGTAAGGAAGATCCAGAATGTATAAACTGTATAGAAGCTAATAAAAAATATAAACTTGTGTTAGATTCTAGACATTCTAGTCTAGATAAAAATTGTGAATGTCTAAAAAGACAATATGATTTATTTATTAGAAGAACTGATTATGGTTAATGGTTCTATTAAATTAAAATATGCAAAGGATTTGTACTTTTGTTTGAAACTGTAATAAGTTATTAATATGATTTTTAGTTTTGTTATTATTGGACTTGTAAGAAAAGAATATTTTTAGTCTCTGTTTTAATTATAAAATAATTTTTGTTATTAAAAAATGATATAAATTTTTTTTCATGAAATACAAGTTGTATAAATGCTTCATTAAAGTTTTGTGATCCTAAATAGGATATTTTGTTATGTAAAATTTTATTGTATAAATGTAAATTTAATGATTTGTATTTTTGATTAATAAAAAGATATTTGTTGGCGAGGTCAACGGATCTTTTTGGTCAGTAGCGGGTACAGTATGCTGGTTGGATTTTATCCTAAATAGAAGTTCCAATAAACCCTGCATATACCGTAAGGTTCGCAGAACAGATTACCAGTCTTACCCGTAGCTGAAGATAGCTGACAAGACAGGTCTGATGATGTGCTCCGTCTGCTTCTTAAGGCAGTTATTGCCAAATACTGGTCGTCAGTCAGCATTGTAACTCGGGGGGCGACCTGTATTGTAACGTCTACTAATATTTGCATCATTCTGGAATCGTTTCCAAAGCCTTAGAGATGATACCTTGGGCTATTCTAAGTTCTTCCATCTGAGTACGGCCACATTCCAGGCTGCCGATAATTCAACGATGTAAAAAATCATCCCACATGCGTCCTCTGTGTCATAACTATTCGGTTGTGGCACTGAGCGGCTTACAGAGCTTTTATAAACGATTTTGCTTCTTTGCTACCATTCCTTATGTGCATTTCTCTTGCACTCTCGTCATTGTAACGTACTATTGGCATTATCTGGTGGCTTCCTGTAATTTACATATTATTCTTGAAGATGTGTGCGATGATTCTACATGTAAAATTTTTAACTTGGTGTTCGATTTCCGTGTGATTCTGAATTACCCTTAATTTATGGACATGACTGTATTTTTACGAGTGAATCAGAGAACTGCAAGCAGAGGTTGCGAAAGCCTCTTCCGTTACGACGGATGAGAACAGTCCGAGTTCTGTTTGCTGAAACGGAGAATTTGTATTCCTTAGCCCACTGGCTAAACTGTAGAAGAGCATCTTTGTCACTGTCTTCTTTTACTTTTTGCAGCGGTCTTTGATGATCAACACACCGTCGTCCCTGTAGGCAAGAAGTTTGGTAATACTCCGCTTGATAACAAGTCCAAATGCTATACTCGCAAATAAATTTCATACTTTGGGTCCTGAGCAGGAAGAAGCATCAAGTGTCTATTCTTTCAGCTAGTGAATGACTTAATCCGATGAAACATTCTAATATTGATTTCGCCTACCTCATTTATTCGTTTAATGTCGTTGAAAGTGACTCATAAAGTTGCACTGAATTGCATTATATAAAATGATTGAATTACTCCATTTTGATAAAGCAATGCAAGCCACGCTAAACTTTCCGTTCAAGCCATTTGGTATTATCATTGTAAAATGAAGAATTTTTTAAAAATTCATTATGCAGTCAATTATGGGCATCTTAATACTACTGCTGATGCCCTCATTTAATCGTGGGGCGTATACGTCCCACGATTAAATGAGGTTATATTTAAAACTGATATACGTGCGATAAAAAATAATATATGTGAGGATGCACTTGCTTGGCATAGTAATGTTCAGCCAGGTATTTGTTAAACTAATTCCTAGAAAAATTAATTTATTGGTTTGTTGTGTTATGCATGTTAAACTATACAACCTTTCCTTGATAATTATGATTTTTGCTCTATTTTAATTATTGTAAGGCATACTCCAGAAACAAAATAATACAAATGTAAAGCGTGGGGCGCATACGCCCCACGCGGACTGAACAGGAAGTCTTCAAAAAACGGTCTGGCAGGGAACATGTTAAGGGATTCATCCATGAGATTTTCTAAGGCAAACTGGTTCGTCTTTGCGTTGCGCATGAGGAAGAACGTGAAAACGCCCATTAATACATTAATAAAAGTGTACAAAACTAGCTGGTATTAGTAATAATAATTTTAGTTTAAGAATTTGTTAAGTTCAAAATATAAATTTTTATAACATTGTTTATTTAAGAATATAAAGGAATGACATAAAAATATTGGAAATAGCTTTGGGTAGAGTCTGTCGTATCTCTTTCGAATGACTTATAATGTTAATAAAACGTGAACATTCGATGAAATTCTTTCCTTATATTATTTTTTCGAATTAAGGCAGGCAATTTCTGTATTTCTTCTTGGGTTTTTCCAGATGTCAGAGTTCCCTGGAACGAAAAAAACTATAGTTATTTATAAAATATCTTTTGTTAAAACAAGATACAAAACTTTTTTACTTAACACGTCACTTAATTTCATTCATTCCACTAATTTAGACAAGAATACTAGATGTTAGCTACTTAGATTTTTTTGGGGGGGGTTATTTGTGCTTAATAATATACTGCTGAATCACCGATACTTATAGAATAACAAGAAATAAAGGAAAACAACTAAAGGAAAATAACAAGAATTAAGAAATATATATGTTTTGGTAGGATGTTTGCTTTTTAGTTACTATACTTTCCAGAAATTCAGTAAAACAGAAACTACAAAAATTACACTGAAGTTACGTGAAACTTCAAATTTGGCCCACCAGAGATCGAGTAATAAAGTCATTGAATACTGGTACTTAGTTCGACTAGGGTTCAAATCCCAGCGAATGATTTGGTTGCGTGACAGTTTTATAGGTTTCCCCGCGTATCTCGTGAACAGGGCCGGCGCCAGAGACAATGCGGCCTCACCGGGCGGCAAAATTTTTTGAATTTAGAGGAGCATCAGGTGATACAATTTACGGATAGTAAATTTTTTTTAATTTAGGACAGGCTTTAGACAGCAGAATTTAGGGGCGGCAAAACTTTTAGAATTCTGAGAGACACGGGGCAGCAACATGCCTAGCGTCAGCCCTGATCGTGAATACTAGTCATATTTCCTAAAATGTCCTTCATGAAGGCATCCCTTTCCTTGGCGGATATCCTTATGTGTGTCATCATAATCCAACTACTGCTACTAGTAATAATAATAAACTTTAAATTCCAGTTGCTAGTCTTACCTTGGAAATAGTTGAACCCAAGCGGCGGATGAAACATTGAACGAGCGGCGGATGAAACATTGAACGAGCGGCGGATGAAACACTAGTTGCTAGTGTTGGCAATCCTTCTTCAGTTTAGGTTTGGCTATTTAAATATGGCAAAGCATACAAGGGCTATATGATTAAGGCAAGAGGTTAACAACTTCTGACACGCATGTCGAACATGGTGTAAGGAACGATTTCTAGCACTCTAAACAATTTAAAAAATATGAAAAATCTTAAAATATCTGGGGTATTTATTGATTTGAAGAAATGTGTAAATACATCTCCACAAAATTATTAATATACCTCTCTAAATAGAAATATATGCCCTTAATAATTGCATAGCTTTAAATTTAAAATTCTGCAAACTACTGCGTGCTGCTGTCTGGCCACGGTTTGGTATGCTTGTTTTCAAGAAAGATAACAGAGTATGCCGTAGAGCGGCTCCTGCGAGTAGCAACAGAAGGTGATCTGATTTTCGGTCTTACAGCGAGCGTGTTTCCGTGTGCTCTGTTCATGTGTCGATTTTAGAGCGCCCAAATATCTGCTGGAAAACTCAAATTAGATGTTCGTTCTCTTCATGCTTTCTAGACGAGTACGGGATTATACAACAAAAAGATCGCACTGTTTGTCCTCTATGCTGCGAAAGTATGGTGATGCGAATATCAAGTATACAAAAACACTTGTAAACCAAACATACACAAACTCCGACAAAAAACAGGAGCCGTCAATATAGCTGCTTACAGGTATCAGAAGCAAACTAGTGTATTTATCCAAGTAATTGGTACGGAAAACAAAGCAATGTAGCAACAAATTTTTTTACTGCTTGTCTTTAAAGGAGAAGCCGCTCATAGAGAGGATTTGTTCAAGAAACACTGACAAGGTGCCTGTACTTTGTTCTATGATTTACTAAACATTATCTTGTATTTGGGAAATATGCTTCCGTCACATCAGTGAAAAAACTTGTGATAGAGATGGCAGAAAATGTATTTGAAAAACAAATCAGCTGTATGCAAAAGGTTTTTTACTTCCATTTCGCTATTGATGTAATTGTTGATGTCAATGATGCGTCGCGGTTAGCTGTAGTGGCTCGTTGTTGTGACGGCCATCTTTATAAGGAACTGTGCTGCTTGATCCCACTTCACGGTACAACTAAGGAAAAGGACATTGTTTCCGCTTTTCTGAGTTACTTCGAAAAGCAAAATATTGAAATTAAAAAAATATTTTGTGGTACCACTGATGGTTCTCCTGCTTTAATAGGCAGGGATGAGGTGAAGCTTCTTGTAGATCGTATCGGCCATCATGTTTTGAGCGTACATTGCATTATAATGAACAGAATTCGTATGCAAAGATCTACACGTGAACTGAGCGCTGTGATGGAAACTTTTGTTAAAATAGTATATTTCTTTGTGTTCTCCGCATTGACTCACAGACAGTTCACTTCATTCCGGAAAGAAACGAAGAGCTCATATGGTAATCTCCTTTTGTACAGTAATGTTCGCTGGCTTAGCCGAGATGAGGCACTGGATATATTTGCGCCATGCATGCATGCAATGAAACTGTTCCTTGATGAAAAAGATCGTTTCCCAGGACAGAGTGACGAAGGTTTCCTATGTTCCTAAGCTGTGGCTTCTCGCTGATATTACAGCACATCTCAATGTGCTAAACAAACGATTTCAAGGTAAGGGGCAAAGAGTATTAGAATTGCATGAAGTTTTCGGGAGTTCGTAACAGTAGTCATGATATGATCAGCATAAATTACAGGTAGTACAGTACGAGAACAAGACTTCCAAATTACGAGCCAATGTTTTCTTACCTCATTAGACATGACTTGATGGATTTTACGTCTAATGAATGTGATCTATTCCTCTTTGAATGGATGATTTTGAGATGGAACGATAGTATTTAAAGCATCCGAACTGTGGACGGCAGAATTTTTATAATCTTCTTGAACAGGGCAACAGTTCTACAGCAATCTTACAGTGCTATACATCTATGCCTAAAACTTTGGCGTGTTTGAAGAAGATAGCATTTGACGTCCTTTCTGCTTTCGGATCCAGCTACACATAGGATCAATTTGTTTTCGCACATGAAATATGTCTTGAACCCACACTGAGGTCGCCTGACAACTTTAGAAGCATAGACCAAGCTGAAAATGTCGAAGTACAGCAGCTAAGCAAGGATAAAAGATAAGGTCCTCATCAAGATAAGTGCTTCAACGTGCTTTTCCTCAATAAGTGTTCTATTCTTGTTAATAATTATTGATTATTTATAGGCGTTATGTTTTAGAAGCAATAACTTTATTTATTTATTTAAAAAAATTACAAATAATTGACACGTCTGAAGATTCTTCAGAACTCTACAGAAAGTTTCGGCACAGTAAATATAAAAGGTTGCCTACCCCTGGCGTAAAGAAAGGAATGCCTTCTTGGAGGACTTTCTAAGCCCTTTACCTTTCCGCGGCAGAAACCAGAAAAAGCGATTGGTAACATAACAATAGCTGAGATACGCTGAAGTGTGGAAGATTGACATATTTCTGTTTTATATTTTAGCACTAACTGCATTTTTCTGTTCTTTATTCTAATGTTATTTTAGATTGCTTACAAGTTTTAAAAAAGCTGATATATAAATTATAATAAAGGTAACTGAAATCCAATTTGTGCAAAGTTTGTGATGACTCCTCCACCCCAAGGGCGGGCTCAAGCCATTATAGGCGTTGGCCACAACTAAGGCTGGAAGCGGTTGTCACTTTAGTATGGAGTCACCTAATAAGTAGGCCACTGTTGCCTCCTATGAAGAGACAGGAAATTTACATCCATAGCCTTCTCCATGACTCGAACCCGGGCCATTCGTAACGGCATTCAGTGTCACAAACCACATTCCCGTTTGGCGGAAGTTAATGATGATATTTCTACAAATAAATTTTCCGATTTAATTTGTTTTACTTCAACATGAGGAAGACATGTGAAAAGTCTCGGCAACCTACAGAAATGGTGATGATGTAGGAAACAAATAAATAAATTACTGACTGATTATTGAGAAAAATTCTAAGGAATTTTCTCCTTTCTTTTCGTGTGTCCTCGTGGTGTTATTGGAAGCATGACCGGCTTTATCGGGAGGGCAGGAGCTCGAATTCCAGGAAAGGCATAGCTGAGTTTTCCGGTTCCGATAAATCTAATGACTCTACAAGCTTTTTTAACAAGAACTACACTTTCAAATGTGTACCACTTAAGCGAAATATAGTCAGTCTCGTCTGAATAATTAATTTTGCTTATTTAAATTATATTGATAAGTTCCATCTCAGGAATGGATAGCAACAAGTCTGCTTACAGTGGATCTGCTATCTAATATTCAGCATACTTTGAAGCGTCATCAGCAAAATGTTTCAAATATTTCAGTACAGTTTCTTACCCACGTTTTAGTTGTTAATAACTTTTTAATCGTTTAAATTATTTACTTCTTTGGTTTTGATACTTCTTTTAAAGATTATGATGCTTTTTTAATGCAAGGCAATCAGTTTTTAAGCCTTTTAACACAACATTCTGCTATGTCATTCTTCAAAGTTACTTAAACTCGGGGCCGGCTTGAGACCCCGCAGTACCCGCAATTGCGGGGGATGCAGTTTTGAAAAGGAAACCAGCAAGATGTTTCCGCGTTAGGTAATTTTTCATACATTTACTGCAAATCTGGACAATGCCTATCACAGATTACAAATTCGACTGTGTGGGAAAATGAGAGGTGAATGACAATGGATTAAGACCGCTATATAAAAAGCATAATTAAGAATTAATTAAAGTAAGTGTAATTTCTCATTAAAACGGGACTTCTCTACTTTGAATTTTCGAAATCAAAATGTTTAATTAGTAAGGCCATGACAACTTGCATGTTGGCAATTCTGTGTGCGGGAGACGTTCATTGACAACTGTGTCTTTTCTTCTGGTCTACTTAATGCCTTCCTTTGGAAAAGAACGATTGATTTCATACTTATGTTTTATTTTGCTAGAGATGACTAAAAAGGGAAGGAATCCTTTAAAAATGGAGGAATTCTGTGTTCTAAGTCGGTACCATGATCGGCTAAGTAAGTCGTAATACTATAAATTTGCATATTTTGCACATTAAAGGTAAGGGACTGTATATTTAACTAAATGAAGTACAATGAATATTTCTATATTGGACTATTGGTTAAATCGGGGCTATATGAACAGTTATATTTAATTACTTACACATCCTATATAACTCTCTATGTAAAAGTTTTTTTTTTCGGAAAAATTTTTAAATAGATGCATATTGAGTGTAGGGTTAATATTTAACGAAGTTAGGCAGTAAAGTCCTTATTCGAGGACACTTCATTATAAGTAGAAGAATTTAAATAAATTTTCTTTCTTTTCAAGTCGTGTGACGAAATTCTCCAACGAGCTGAAAACTGATACTCAGTCTGCTTTCAAGATTGTCATCTTTCAAAAGAGAAATCTTAAAAGAATGTAATAGGAAGTTTTTAGAACAGCCGCTTAATTGTTCAGCCATTGGATGTTATGCTAGTACTGGTCTATAAATTAACTGAATTGAACAAGAAATGCATAGTTATTTCAATCTTCTGTACATTTAATTTTATTCAGTCTAGTTACTATTAGGAATTAAAGATCAGATGGCTGGAAAAAAAAATGGATGCTCCAGAATTAAGAAATAGTTCTGCACAAGTGAATGTAAGAAGAAGACTTTTTTTAAAATTTATGGCGATTTTAAGTATTAATTTTAACAATCGCGTTAGTCGGCTACAATATTACCGTAGTTATCGTAAAATGAAGGACGCGAAAAAAGAGAAATAGAAACCGACAGAAAAGGAAGAATAAACTTTAGCGTATAATAATATCTCATAAAAATTCTATATTTAAAGAAATAAATTCTATATTTGCTTATAAATTTCCGATATAAATGCATGTATTTAAAGTTGTCGTTTAACGTTCCTATATGAGTGCATATTTAGAAAATACAAATTTATATTATAAGATGGATCGGTACTTTTCCGTTTTGCCGTCGAAAGCAATGAAGTCGCCAGTAATGGTACAACCGATGACAAACGGAATATCCTCGCTGGTAGCCTTTAACGCCTCATTTTCAAAACAAGTCGCAGCCATTTCTTCTCAGATTGATTTGTTTCTTTCAATACTGGCATACAATTACATAGAATTTTAACAAGATAGTTCAATTTTATGCCCTAAGGGAATTCGCGGTAATTAAGTCAATTAGGATGCAATTACACAGCTCACCTGAAGGCGAACATATAGAAAAGGCAAAGGTAAAGGGTTAAATTCATCAATTCTAATAAGAATGCACTAGCGAAGTAAAGGACTGAGGTTTTACATAATTCTGGGTAAGCTATTCTACGAATTGAAATAATTCTTGCATTTAAATTTATTACAAACTAAGATTTACTCGAAAGTAATGTAGATAATTACTAAGAGAATTAGATTTGTAGGTAGTTTACGTGATGGGGTCACGTGATATGAACGGCAAATAGATGTTGAAAAATGAAAGCATAGTAATTCTTAAATTAATGCCTTTTACAAATTTATTGGCTTCTACAAAATTTTAACGATATTAAAATGTTTATGCCCTCAAAATAAAAAAATTCTTAAAACTAACATTTGTTAACACTTTTTATGTGTATTCTGTATATTGTCGCCAATAAAGTCTGCTTGGCGAGATTTGCGCCGGCGAAACGGAAAAGTACCTATGGATTTTTAATTATTTTTTTCACATTTTTGAGTAATTCATGCTTTTGATATCAGTTAATCATGATGTATTATTTGCATTATTTCGTTTCGTATACTCATCTACTGTCGGTCAGTAACAAAACAGTTTATTAGATTTTTAATAAATTATCCAGCTGTGACACTGAAGAAATTGATGCTAAAATTTTATATACAGTACAAATTCCGTAATCCGGACTCGTCGGGACTTCGGTGATTCCGGATTTGGGTTTTTTCACGATATTAGATCATCAGTTTAAATCTAGTAAGATAGAATGTAGAAAATATAAAATTAAAAATATCAAATCGTGATTTATAAAATAATGAAGTATCTATGATCTAAAGGATATAAAAATTTACCAAAAAAATTAATATTTATTTGTTTACCTTATTAAACATTTCTTCTTTCAATGTAAGTTGTTTAAGTTGCTTTATTTTTTGTGCTAATACTTTCTCTTTAATTCTGTAGACAGACATAATCTTTTGTTTAATTACACTGCTGAAGTCCTGTAACTGCTGTTTCGAGAATTCCGACTAATAGCTGTCAACTAGGAGTAATATCATAAGCTAAGAGTATATTATGCGTTTCTAATGCTAGATATTACTGCGAATGCTTGTATTCATGCTTAGAAGATCCGAGAATTCCAAGAGAGTGCTTAACAAATTTTAATAAAAATCACACTGAGTTTTGGAATGGAACTACTCAATCCAATCTTAAAATTCACCATGGTTATGTATTTAAAAGAATATTTTTCTTTCTTAATTTTTTGTTAAATTTATTTATTTATTTATTATTAATGTAAGACAGAGAAACAATCTCTTGCTCTGCCGGGCTAAATTGTATCATTCGACCAAAATAGTTCCTCAAAAATGTATTGTATCAAAACAGAAACTATAATACCATTTTTCTGGAACATAATGATATACTAGACCAGCGCAGATCTTATTATCATGTGCTCGCGCATTAAATACACTTTATGCAAAAAGTCAAGGTTTGTTCTAGCTCTTTCTAAAAATTACCCTTGCATTTTTTTAAAAATTATAATATGGAAGCTTGAAGCTGAACTTCAAACTTAAATCGTAAAATCAAATAAAATCGATCTGCAAGTTATAATTACTGAATTCGTATTTCAGTTGAGCTTCAAAATTTGAAAGCTGTGCCCTTTAGTACAGATATTCAAACCAAACAGAATCATTGCACATTTATTTGTTATTATGCGCTCATGCGAACATTTTGGTGTACTTATGATATTATTTAAATGAATTCATTTGCTAAAATTGAAATATGAAACATTTTTAAAATCTGTCACCAGCCCCAAATTTTTTAAGTACTGTTCTGTCTGTAATTTTTCAATTTGAAAGCTGAGAATTCTAGATTTTCTTGTACAGATGTTACCGTGAAAGACCGAAATTGACCGAATCGACTTTCACCGGAGAATGTCAACATTCACCAAATACGTCGGTGTAAGATCGAATATTGCATTACATTCTTGTACATTCGGACCCTCACCGGTGTATGTCGACAGTTACAGATATGCTCTGGTGTAGGTCGAAAAGAGGAGGTCATAAAGTGTCAAGAGTTAGTTGTTGCAATAAATAAGATTGAACACATAATTTAGTAAGTTTTTTATTATATTATTTATTTTCTCATTTAGAACGGACTGTATAATTAAGTAAGTTTTTAACTTCTATTATTTTCTTTTCTCATTTTGAATGTACTGTGTGTTTTAAGTTCCTATATCTTAAGTTCTTATTTTAAGTCTCAAGTGCGTTTCGGACATACACCAAGCGACTATGTGAATGTTGACTTTCACCGGTGAAGGTCGATATTCTCCAGATTTCGGTGTTTCACCGTAACACATGTACAAAACGCGAGAAGAAACCTGTTTCGAGTGTTATCGGTTTTCATTAAATAAGCACTTTATTTTCCACCTGCAACACTACATCTTGCACAGTAAGTGATAGCAGTAATAACAACAGCATTTTCATAAAGTTGAACCAAATTCCTAGTGAAGACATTGAATTTTTTGTTTCATTTGTTATAATTTTTACCTCGTTTTCTTATTTGTAAACCATTTCACTGTGTAAAATATTCAACCTCACTATAATATCAGGTATATAAAAAGAGTTTAACATTTCCGTGAAATGAAATTATTATTATTCACCTTAACGATGCTTGAGTGTCTGCATACACACGAATGTAAAATGATCCAGGAGAATTTGGCTCAAATGTTGCAGGAACAATTACGTAATTTCCCGGCGGTATTTCAAACCTGCCAAATACTTCTCTGTAATTGACATACGGACCTGAGCTTCCCACTTCTTCTATTTCGCGGAAATTCTTCAGAGTTTGCCTTACAGATTCTCTTACCTGAAAATAAATGTTTTTCATAAAGATTTGCATCTATTAATTGGGAAGAGAAAAGAAAAGCAAAGACAGAGATGAGGGAAAGATGAATTAAAAAAAAAAAAAAGAAAGCATTCTAATCTTAAAACCTTAAAACCGGCTTTAGATGTATTCGTAAAGGGAAACTTTAGAGTTTTCGTGCAATCGTTTATGCATTTGTTGTATGAAGATTGTTAAATTTAGTAATAAAATATAAACATTACGAAGGGAAATAAATGTGTCTTGTAAAATCACTGTGCCTCGTTCTAAAAAGAAAGCAAATTTTCGTTTCTGCACACACACACACACACACACACACAAAAAAAAAAAAAAAAAAAAAAAAAAGTGCACCTGTTTTTTTCCCATAACTGCTTTATGTTGGACAGCTGTACGATATAAAGCAATATAATGGACAATATCTGCAGACTTTGAAACACAAAATATGTCAGATTATTTATGCTATGTTAACATGCAAAAACATTCTTACGTGTATTATAAATAGCATCGAAACTCGTAGTTTAGAGTTAAAATATAATCAAAGACGTAACAGCATGAATGATGATACTCTACATCAACACATAAATACTGTTTATTCAATCATTTAAACCGTTGAGTTACATGCTAGAAAATTCTAGGCCAGTGGTTCCTAATTTGTGCTTCACGGAGTCCTAAGGACTCCACGTGTACTTCCCAGCGGTTCCATGGTCGCTCCAGGAAAATGAAATAAATACAGACTGATGAAATTAAAGAATAAGAAACAAAAAAGTAGAATAAAAATCAAGAAGTAAGAATAAAACTATAAAAACTAGATTTTACTTCCTGGACGAGAATTTGCCAAGTTCAGTTTCGTATCTCTTCTCGCATGATGCAATGCGTGATGTAATAGCTTTGTTTATAACACAAACCATGTGAATACGGATGTGTTGGATATCTTACCACGTTCTTCCTCTCACGCCTTAAATAATACACTGCTGGTCATTAAAATAGCTATACCATTCAGGCGGCACACAACAAATGTGAAATTTGCATGTAAGGTACTATATGCTGAGACATGCAGATTATTAGCATTTTAGCGCATGCGCACAAAGCAGGTATGACTAACGCCATCTACATTGTTTCTAAATAGGAAGACTGCACATCGGGTTCCTTTGGCATTCGACCGCGTCTGGCATAAGGGGCTTATTTATAAACTTATAAATCTCCCTATGGATAGAGAGCTGATTCAGCTAATTATGTTTTTCATCACTAATAGGAAATTCACTGTGGCTATTGGAAACTACTTCTCCAGTTTACGCACCATGAATGCAGGCGTCCCACAGGGGTCCATTTCAGGGCCCATCCTGTATTTATTTTATGTTCATGACTTCTCTAGGGCTCACATTAATAGAAATCACCTTCTTGGGTTCGGACGATACGGCCGTAAAGTCCGCAAACGCACACCATGCAATCAAGAAGTTACAGGAGCTTCTGCCAGAGGTAGAAAAGGGGTGTACGACGTGGAGGATTGCTATTTATGTCAGCAAGCCGCAATTATTGATGATAAGGAGGAAAAATACACAGTTGAATATTAATAGCAAGCTCCTCTTATTCTCTGAAAAGATTCCTAGAGTCAGTAAGACGAAATATTTAGGAGTAATGCTAAATGAAAGATTAAAATGGGATAGATCATATTACAGAGGTCAGAAGAAAAGTTTTCACTCTTGTAAATAGTCTCACCCCTATATTGGGTAATTTTTCTAGGTTAGACCTCAGGAAAAAGAGGCTAGTATATATCACGGCAATTAGGCCATTGATGACCTATGCGTCACCTGCCTGGTACACGGCTACCAAGGAGGATATAAAAAGACTTCAAATTATCCAAAACAAAGTCTTAAGGCTTATCGCCCATGCTCACGTTTTTGTGAGCAATGCTACATTGCATAATGACTTATAACTGGACACTGTAGAAGAGCACCTGAATAAGATTAACAAGAAATTCTTCACGAAAGCCCTGAACTGTCACCATGTGAGTAATTTTGATATCTTTACCTACGAAATATTGATGAGGACTCCAAACTGCCACCCACTGCGGCCCACCTTATAAGGGACCCGAACTTCCCACCTAGTGCCCACTGTAAATAAGTTACATAGTGTGTGTTATTAGCATTCTTAATTTTATATCTTACTCATTTATTGTACTGGGTATTTCTTAATTTCACTAGTTTTATTCACATCTGTTACTCTCATTTTATGACTCCCACTTAGTCACGCCTTTGCTGGGCCTGTTACTTGTTAGTGAGCTCTTGCGTTGCTGGTCTTTCTATCCTTTATCCGTCTTTGCTCCTCCTTACGGCAGACATTATGTGAAGATAGTTCTATGTTACTGCACCCATCTGGCATAAATTTGATTGAGCTAGATAAATTACTGATCTCAGTGGTATTCTGGTTATAAGTTATCAGTCAGTCAGTCGGGTTCCTTTCAGATGTCACCACCCGCTCACGTGACCATAGTCACTTCCCTTTCCATATATTCGACTGCTCGTCTTAGACGCAGCTCGTGTGTTAGTTTACCTCAAGGCCAGCTCTGGAAAGCCACTTCAATACAGCCAGAACACGTCGTGTAATACTTGCACAACAATCACGGCATATGTACGGTAGTTGGCGTTGGAGAGCGGGTTTCTCATTGGCTTATTTTGAATGATGCAGCGTTGTTGTTCAGTTGCTGTGATTCATTTTCTGCGCCAAATTTCAGCGAATATCGAGTGTTGATCCCCTTTACTGCACTAGGAAAGTGCTATCGTGTCTTAATCAGCGGAAGGAAAGCGTTTATTTTTGAAATAGCAGTTGTTATCAAAAACAGAGTCTAGCTACAAATTACACATGCTTTTCTTAATTGTAAATGTTGATTAAAAGCAGAGTATCCCCCAAGCTATCAATTCAGTTGCTAGTCAGAAAGTTCTTTTTTCCCCAGATTTTATATATATGAAAAAAGCTCTTCCTGCAGGAAGTGAACTTTAGCGGAATAAAGATTTTCTCTTCACTCTTTTCTATAATTGAGCTTGGATTTTCACATGACTTAAACTATGAATCTGGACTCTGAATGAAACAAAAATATGCAGTACAGTAATACAAATCAGACGAACAATATCCGTTTACATACACATATATTGATTGAAGAAACGTTTATGGATGAATTTCATGTTAAAATTTCATCATTAAACAATTTACAGAAAAAAGTTCACTCTTTAGTGACATAGTCAATAAAACAGCTGTCTGCATTTTAAATCCGAGGGTGTATCTTGATTACTTAAACAGACTTCACATTCTGCAAGAAGAATATTATTAGAAACTTAGAGAATTTGACTATTTTGAAATAATTGTAAAAATATAGAAAAATTTACGAGCCTGACTCTTAAGTATTATATGATGCTCACAGTGACCTTAAACCAGCCATGAGACCTGTCAAAAGAATAAAAACAACGGAAAGCGCTGCTTCTCTGGTTGCTTCAAATTCCGTTTACATACAGTATATTAATTGCAGTATATTAATTGAAGATAAAGACTGTATGATAACTAAGGATCAACAACCGCCAACTACGAAACAACCAAAGTGCTACAAATAAGGCTACTACCAAAACAGATGCGTCTCTCAAAACAAACTGATGAATTATCACAAAATGAGATGAACCGGAATAGCGCTCTCATATAGCTAAGAAAAACTGCTCAATCTACAACAAATAAAAAGAAATATGTGCCACCAATCTATGCGGACAGTCTTCCAAATGCAAATAAATTTCTTCTCGAATTAAATAACCTACATGGAACTAAAGCAACTAGAAATTTAACAGGCAATAAAGTAAACATTTTTCCGCCAGACACAAACGTCTAGAGTCTCGGCTAATTCCATTAATTGATTCGGAAAGAAACTACCTGCATATTCTTTTGAACTAAGAAAAATAAACTACTTAAATTAGTAATCCATGTACTCTCTGTGTCTACGAACAAAGAAGAAATCATCTCCGAACTTACTAACGAAGTGTTCCAACCTCTATTCTTAATTTATCTTCGATACGCTGAAGAAAATAAAATGATTTAGAAAGTCTATCCTGTTGGCTACCTGAATTTTGAAATGTGAGCTCTACGCAGACGTCCCGGCCCGGCGGAGTGCTTCAGTTGCCATAGGTTTTTCACAGTTCGCTCTATTGCACCCTAAAAGCAAGATGCGTCCGCTGTGAATTAGATCACACTAGGAAGAAGAGCCCTTTGGATAAAACAGAACTTGCGAAATGCACCCTATTCTCCGAACCGCATCCGGCCAACTATTCCAGGTGCCCCAAAAATGCGCGTGATTATCTGATAATAAGCACTCTGTTAAAGCTCCTCAGACTAAAATTTAAATTCTTGGACGTAGCAGCAGCAATCAATCATCAACTCCATGGAACTCTCCTACTCTTCCAAGAACTAAACTTATATCTTTTCAGCAGACTACAAATTTTTCTATAGAAAGTATGGATATTACAAACGTTTCAAAAACTTTCGCCATTATAACTGACGGAATGAAAAAACTGAAAATTTAGTGTCTAACTGCAGAAATTCTCCGTAATGGACTGAACTCATGAACAATATTAGTAAATATATTTAATTTGTAAAGTTATTAATTGAAACTAACCAGTTATTCATAATTTCATCCTTGCACCAGGTCACAAATCAGTTAGATAGTAAACTGAGGTTTGTGAGAGAGAGCGTGCTTTTGCCTTTCGCAGTCACGTTATGTTAGTTTTGCCAGCTCTAATAAATTTCTAATTATTCGGTTTTGCGTTATCGTAGCCGGCCCTTTAATTTGTTACGCCGGTAGAATTATTGAGCCAGCTTTGATTTAAATATAATTGTATAGTCTGACTATCAGTCTACGTTGTAAATTGAAAGTTACCCTTTAGTTGCATCACCACGAGGGGTGGTTCATATTGTTAACACATGAACTGCACTGATGTTCTGATTTCTGTCTA